GGGGGGGTGGGGGGCGTTGCAGGAGCTGCAGCTGGCAGCAGCACAGAGCCCACGCTCAGGGGGGTGGTGGCAGTGCAGAGCTCGGGTGCACAAGGTGTTGGTGTGAGGGAGGGTGGGGGAGTGTGGAGACCCTCCCCCCACATTCTCCCCATGGCGAGCAGCCCTGCAGGTGGTGACAGCAGCAGCAGCAGCAGGCAGGGATGCTTGTGTCCAGTGTAAGTGCTGGTGGCCAGCGGTGTGCAACTCCAGCCAGCGCTGCATATTGTGACGAGGAGCATAGCCCCCATCAGGTGCCTTTATCACACGGGTTCCCCGCCACACACAAGCAGCCTCCGCACTCATGTGCCACTGGAGGAAAGCTCCACACATTGGAGCCGGCTGCCTACCCTACTCCTTGTCACGCAGCTCCCGGGACTCCACAGGGAAGTCACAGGCCAGATGAAAGTGCTTGGGGGACAGATGCGGCCCACAGGTCTCGGGACTCTGTGGGGCGGGCTCCTTCCAGCTGAGTCCTGGGACATTCACGGGAGGGGTGGAGAAGGCTTCCAGATCCAGCACGCGGAGCTTCCCTCCACTGGCAGGGTGTGGGGGCTGCCCATGCGCAGCAGGGAACCCCCACGGCAGCCCGGCAGGGGCTGCGCTCCTCACCACGATATGCAGCATTGGGCATAGCTGTGTGCTGCCAGGCACCAGCACTAGGCACAGCCATCCTGAGTGCCCCTGCCTGCTGCTGCCACCTGCAGGGCTGCACACCATGAGGGAAGTGTGGGGGAGTCCCCCCTATCCTCCCTCACACCCCACAAATGCCACACACCCACACCCTACCCTCACAGCCCCCTTACATATGCACCCCCCCAACATACCGTATCAGATCCAGACTGAACACCAAGTCCCATTGGCTGGAGCAGTTTTCTTTAATCTTTACTAATCTATAGAGAAGCCTCTGGGATCCCCATAAGATTGGGCTCCTAATACTGTCCACAGCCTCTTGTGACCTATTCATAAAACTTTTCTAAAAAGATTACATGAATATACAGTCTCAAGTAGTATATCATTAGAAGTTATAATCCCTATTCCATGATTCATAGATTCATAGATGTTAGGGTCGGAAGGGACCTCAATAGATCATCGAGTCTGACCCCCTGCATGGCAGAAAAGAGTGCTGGGTTTAGATGACCCCAGCTAGATGCCTATCTAATCTCCTCTTGAAGACACCCAGGGTAGGGGAGAGCACCACCTCCCTTGGGAGCCCATTCCAGACTTTGGCCACTCTAACTGTGAAGAAGTTCTTCCTAATGTCCAGTCTAAATCTTCTCTCTGCTAGCTTATAGCTATTATTTCTTGTAACCCCCGGGGGCGCCTTGGTGAGTAAAGCCTCACCAATTCCCTTCTGTGCCCCCGGGCCCTTAACCATATGAGTGGCCCTTCTCTGGACCCTCTCCAGGTTATCCACATCCCTCTTGAAGTGTGGTGGCCAAAATTGCATGCAGTATTCCAACTGCGGTCTGACCAGCGCCCGATAGAGGGGGAGTATCACCTCCTTGGATCTGTTCATCATGCATCTGCTGATGCATGATAAAGTGCCATTAGCTTTTCTGATGGCTTCGTCACACTGACGACTCATGTTCATCTTGGAGTCCACTAGGAGTCCACTAGGACTCTGAGATCCCTTTCCGCTTCCGTGCCACCCAGCAGGTCATTCCCTAGGCTGTAGGTATGCTGGACATTTTTCCTCCCTAGGTGCAGCACTTTGCATTTCTCCTTGTTGAATTGTATTCTGTTGTTTTCCACCCATATGTCCAACCTGTCCAGGTCTGCTTGTAGTATGATGGTATCTTTGAGCTCCAACTTATCTTAAATTAAAACTACATATAGGTTGGGTTTATTTAAAAAAAAACAAAACATTTACAAAAATTAAAAAAAATACCATTAAATAAAAAAGCTGATTGAAATAAATTTTAAAAATCCTTATTTATTTATTTGTTTATTTTAAATGGTTGATTTTTATTCCCCCTGCCTTGAGCTCCCCTCCCGAGCTCAGGAGGGACCCAGGAGCTGCCCCCAAGGGGCGGGGCGCTGGGCCGGGAGCCGGCTCTGAGGCGGGACCAAGACGCGCGCGGGCCCGGCGCTCTCGCGCCTCTGGCGGCCGCCGGGGGACTACACATGCTGCCTCCGGCACTTCCCGCAGCCACTGCGCGAGCCCCTCA